TCGGGTCTCCCTCTTCGGTCTCATGGACTCTCGAGGTATGATCGTTAAGGCCGCTACAGGCTTTTATTTCAATAACGTCCATACGTCAGGATTAATCGCAAGCTATCTCATGGTCGGTCCGGTGGAATCGCGGCGGGCGGGGGGGGGCGGAGAGGTCGGAATGAATTATCGGCGCCAGTCGAGCTGCCAGGATTCCAGAAAAGTCCGGGACATGCGTCTCTCGCGATCGATTCGTGATGTGGATAATGATACTTGCGAGGTTGCGATAATAGACGTGCATATACTCTATTGGTATATAGTAACATATATATGACCTACAGAATAATTAGACTCCCGTCCATTGTGAAACGGCACGAGGCAGGGCTGTGTTGCCGTTACTAAAAGAGAGTCCAATGGCCGACTTGGGGATGTTCGAAAAAGCTTTTACCCCGTATGCCGTGGGAATCCTGTGCCAGTATCCGCTTGAACGTCGCTGATATCTCGACTGGCTGTGCGAAAGTCACGAAACGTACTTCTATAATTACTCGCAATCAGTTCTCCACTTCCAGTATTTTATCTCGGTCTCTGAGTAAATTGCCCGTGCTTAAATGTCATATAGTTCGCGTAACGCTTCTATCGGAACGAAGAACAATGGCGGGAAAAAATATTTCTACGAATTGACCACGTTGAACACGTGCGGGTGGGGGTATTTGTTTTAAATATACTCATAAAAAAAGTTTTGAATTTTTGAAAAAAAAAAAAAAAAAATCTATCCTTATTTGGAAAGATCCATCAATCCGATTGGTCAAAGTACTTATATGGAATATTCAAGTTTTGCACAATTTTTTTTTTTTTTTTTTTTTTTTTTTACGACTAAACAGTTTCCTCACGTGGACTACCCATAAGGCATTATTCTTTCTCTTTAATACAAGTCCTAGATCCGCCCGTTATGTCTACACAGAATATACCCTCGATCCCCGTAACGTAGAAGCAACATATGGCGAACACCTTGCATGCTGCACGTTACGCATGCGATCGCTCGTACAATGAGTCACCGGGTCATTTCGCGTGGAGGTGCGTACGCGAGTCAATGGGTTTGTTGACTTTTCTTTCGTCATCATTAGTGCCCGACGAACACACGATTCCTCGGAGTATTATTCCGTGCGCGCGTACGACACGCTTTGATAGCACTCAATTCCACGCATTCCTTCTGCCTCCGGTTACCTGACATTATTGTTACACCTTTATATACCATGTTACACCACGTGACGGTATACCGCATACGCCACGTACTGTCGGCTGAATAAAGCCGCCTCTGGCACTCGTGAAAAGAGCACGGCTGTAACATATACGCCTTATGCGGTATACCTGGCCCCGAGGGTCTTGGACGGGTACATTTCGCATCGAACGAAATCCAGTGCATCTTAACCAGAGTTCGATTTATGGCTTCTCCACGGTTTAGGATTTTACGTATATACATGTAAAATTTATTTATTTTTCATTTAATCCTTTAATCAACGTCATGAATTTTGTTCTTTCACGCCCACGTCTGTCTACGTGTATCTCTATGTCTGTAGACATACGTCGCTCATGCTAATGTAAAAGAAGCCGGTAACTTTAATGTACGTACACCGTACGTATATACGTACGGTGCGCTAAGGAACGGCGCGACGTGTCTCTCGCGGAGACCTCAAGAACCGGGATCGGACCTTGCCTTATGGGGGAATGGCGCCGTTCGCCATTCCGTATCTGCATGCATTAATACTGGCAATCGTGGTAAGCGCGATCGTCTACCTATCCTAGAATGGCTATTTGGGTTAAACACGTAACAAATTAATAGCTACCTGCCGTTCATTTGCATGTTGAGTCACGCGAGCCAGACTCCCTTATATTGGCTATACGGAGACAACTGTGATCGATAGATTTATATCGGCTTGCAAAAGGATATCGTTTTGAAACTTTGGAAATCTCGGCTGGATTTTTTTTTTACTTAAACACGCAATGGGCGACGATACAATTTTTTCAATTTCATATATATATATATACACGTCGAAGGACAATTTTTCATTCGTACAAGATAACCCCGTACAATAACTGTATCTTGCTGGGTTATATATAGGTATACACGACGATATACACACGTGGGATTCTATATCGTTTCGTATACAGCTATCATGTAAATAACCATGGTGCTAGGGATAATTGAGATATCCTAGTGACATAACAATGCGCTTGGTTGGCCGGTATTATCGCGAATCTCGCAGACACAACATTCGTCGTGTCGATATACCCTGATATCGAATGGTACATGTATAACTCTCGAAGCATATTCCGAGTAAAGCGACATCAAATCGTTCGATTGATAAGATACCCGCCAAAGGCAATGTGAACTTTGCTTATAAGCATATATATATATAACCCGTTTGTATATCAGCTAAACGATACAGAGCTGCTGTGTGTACCTTTGATTCGCATTATACCCCAAGGAATTTATCCCGCTGACGCACGCATTCGGAGAAGACTTCGGAAAGGGACAAGGGTTAACGAACTCTGAAAGATTTAAGAAAGAAAAAAGTTTTTTCCTTCATCGTCCACGAGAAAATTTAATTTATATCCCCGAAATCGTTAGGACGTCCCGAGAAGGACGTTTCTGAAAAACGGACAATACGACGTCCCTATACAAAACGGCGTAGTACTTCTTATCGACGAGGAATGTGACTCCGTGAAATTTTCTAACCCCACATTTCTTTTTGTAACTACGCGTGGCGCCACCTGTACGCCAACTTTCGTATCTTCATTGAAGCTTTGACTCTTAACCCAATTCCTTTGCTCCCGTCCATCCTTCGACGTCCTTCCACGACCTGCCCCTCTTCTTCTTCGTTCCCCTCGATCCTCCCTTTCGTCTTCCTCCTTTCCTTCCTTGGTCCATGGACGCTGCATTCCCCAGCACGAGTGGAAAGACCTCGTCAAGGTAAGCCAGTCATCCCGTCCATGAATGCTGTTTTGCGCGCGCGGAGTGCGTGATCTTTCCTCGAGTAGATGAGGTAGATCGGCATACTTTGCCGAGTAACGTTTAATCTTCGGATAGTAACAAGACTTTGCATGCAGTATATATATATATATATATATATATATATATGCGCTGATGATGTTTTTCCAAGGACGCGATATACATGGGATATATATACGCTTCCCTGTACATCACTGGTAAACAGGAACCGGGAATACGATCTTTTGGATAATTTTCTCTAGTTACCGATCTGCAGTGACGTCTCGTTAACGACCGCGAGATACGCAGTCGCTAAGTGAACCGAGTCCATAGGTGCTAAGTGAAACGGCCAGTGCAGATCCCAAGCACGGCGATAGGCATCCGTGCGGCTGGAGCAACGTTGCGCGGCAAGAGAAAAGGTCCGCTAAGTGAACGGCAAAGGTGTTAAAATCACGTCTAACCTCTACGCGAGAGAGCCGTCGGCTATTTTTCTTTTGTGCCGCTGTTTACCACGTGCGACCTGCCCCTTTTGCCTTGCAGGACGTATGGGAGCCGTGGATTACATTGGAAGCATGGACAGCGATGTGTATAGCTATAGGAAGAACGAAGGAATCGGCCAATGCACTCCGTTGCGTCAACGCGATCGTTTCCTGGAGTCGAAGGCATCGGCACGCGGTTGGCTGGGGTGTTTTAAAAGGGTGCGACGGCCCTGGGCTTTGACTTTATACCGAGTTTAATTGAGGGAGACGATATCAAAGGACTCGTTTGCTCGCTCGAGTCTCTCTCTCACTCTCTCTCTCTCTCTCTCTCCCTCTCCCCTCGATGCCTCGGCCACGTCGAAGGGACGAAGACGTCGTCGAATTATCGGCGAAGCGACGGTAGGAAAGCAGCGGCGATCGACTTATTGTCGTGGAAGCTGCCGCTTTGTTCGGCGAGCGGCCTTGCAGGTGGCGCCACTGCGTAGCAGTCAGGGAAGTTAGGAATGTTAGACATCGGGAAATTGGCTGTATCGGCTGCCTCGTACCTGGGAATTAAAATTTCGTCTGTCGCGCACGGGCAATTAAGTCGGTGAATTTTGAAAATTCCCGAGAATGAGAACCTTTGCAATTTTTACAAGCGGATAAACGGTACAAGCCACGCCCGACATTGTTGCCGCTCGAACGACATCCTGTATCACTCCGCGCCACGTGTTATTACGGCCTCATAAATATATATCGCCCTAGCCCAAGTGATACGGATCAAAGATGGCGCAGGGACGGTCGAGGGCTGCAGGAGCTCTTGGGAGGAGAGCGAGGGAGGAGCGTGCCGTGATAAATGCCTGTGCAATTTGCTTTGGATATGGATCAAGATCGGTATGGTGGATCCCGCGTGACGTACCGTCCTTTACAGACGGGCAGGTACCAAGACGTCACGATCGTTATCCTTTCCAGCCCCGTGATCCTCCGTGATCCTGATTGGCAATAACACGCGCCTCGTCCACCTTGTTAGATTGACTTTTTAACCCCCCTTCCTTCTTGCCTCGTTCGCCGCCTGCATCGGATTCTCGTTACCCGCGGACGATCGAGTTTTCGAAATTCCCGCCCTTCGGCTGCGCGCTCGAAACTTTCCCACGCGCTACTCCAATTAAACGGCTCGGCTCGATCTTAAAACGTGCGTCGCCTCGCCGATCGACTTCTTGCGCGCTGGATGGCCAAGTTAAACGGCTAATTGGCACCGAGGGACCGCGTTATGGATCGCGCGACTACTTTTTTCCACCGGCTTCAATTCGAACACGAGAAATCGGCACGTTTCCAGCTCCTGCCGATGCTGGCTCCGTTCACTCTGGAGACACGCTGACCTACCTACTGCCTGCTGGGTCTTGGTCAGGAGCTTGGCTTCTTTTGGGGATTTTCTTCAATTCACGGGTTACTGTCCTACCTGTGTAGGGTCTTCTCGGTCGATTCACACCCATGCTGGTCTGGGCGCTTTTTCAAAATTTTCTTCCACATCAATTCATGCTAATTCCACGCACGGATTATTCATGCAACTCGCACACCTTTATTTTGACTTTTACACAACGACCAATCGAAGGATCGATCACAGTGGCATTTCCGGTCTTACTGCCGCGAACGGAGCCTCCGGTATTTCAACGTGGAATGTTGAGCGGGTCATGCCCGCCCGAGCGCCCGGAATCGAATCCTACTGCTGGCTGTTATATAGATTTCTTTACGTAACGCACCGCCACCTCGTCCACGCTCGATCGATCTCCATACTGGGAACTTCCTAGCGTGTCCTCGGAGGCGAATTATCCAAGAATCTTCCCTCTTGAGAATGTCAATAAACTTTTTATATCAGACAGCACGATAGTCTCTGTGTCTGGTGCGGGGAAAATATTCCGAAGTGAAAGAAATAAATCTAAAAGAGAATATACATTTTAATTTTTTTTTAGGTACAATTCTTATGTTTACAATTTTTTTAAGAGACTTTGAGAATTTTTTTATTGAGCTTACCAATTCCACGTGGTACTCGAATCCATACGTTACCCATACGATATTTCATACACATGGTATTTTTTCCAATTTTTTCCTCATCGTTGTCCAAATCCCGTTAATCACCTAATGAGATATTGCTTACGGTTATTGACTGTGAGAATTTTCGAAGTAAACGTATGTAGATGCATTTTGATAAGCATCGTAGTGGTCGAAGAAAAAATACCTAATGGTCAGACAGCACCCTTCAAGTATTTCTTCAGCAGATCCAATTTTCGTGATAAAAGCTGATTAAACGTTTCCTTAATTAATCATGCTGTGTTGCATGTCAATAAAGGGAGACTGAGAGGAACGCGAACAATCGCTGCATCCTATTAAACCGGCCAAGAGCCCATACCTATCTACGTACAGCTCTATGAGGTTCGTTTTGTCTGCTGGGTATTATCTCTTTCTCAGATCCGCATACCTCTCCCGTGAACCTTGACTATTCGTTGCAACATCGCAGTGGGTAGGTATCTACCTGACTGCCTCCCGCGTACGCGACTGACAATCTCGATGGATCTGTATACCCTGTACCCGGGCACAGCCATCCATTACGATTTTTCATAGATTTTTCCAGCCACCGATGTACCCAGCTGATTTCTAGACGGCCTAATAGATTCTTACGGGGATGAGTCCTCGAGCGTTAATAAATAAGAGTGTTTACATTGGCGTGTATATATATATATATATATTTGCTTAATGGGATTTTCCTATTTTATTTCAAGTAAAGATACCATTCAGATATACCTTGTATTTCGTATCTCGTACTTGGTCCAGGTCTGACGCTAAATTAAATTCCCCAACGGTTCCTGGGAAATTATGCCAGCTCACCTTGCACGGAACAACGATTGCTTGGTAGCCGCAAACGTACTTGACAAGAATGCAGTTTCACTGCTGTTTCTTCGTTTTTTATTCAGCGTGCTAAACCGACCAATGGTCCTAGCCGAGGGCTAGGCGCTTATTCCAGTTTGAATGCAGAACCTCAGGTCACTGTTGTAATCCCGGCTATACCGTGCCTAAGACACTAACCCAGCGCCACTGAGTTGCCTGCTGGCAGCGGCTAAATAAGGAACTACACGAAGATTGCATATGGCAATTCGTAAACCACGTGACCTGGTGGATTATTATCGGGAAATTAATTATAATTGACGTTTTTTTTATGTATAATAATAATATGGAAGATTTAAAAAAAATCTTTTTATTGATATTTCTTTGGAGGATCGCTTGCGTTAAAAAGCAATGCCTGCCGTCGCAAGTAGTAGAGCGAGGACGCGATCTCTGTTTACCGTAGCTTATGTGCTTCGTCGTGCCGATAAATAACGTGACAAGAGAGAATGTGAGAGAGAGAGAGAGAGAGAGAGAGTATACTACAACTTTCCGAACAAAGTCCATATCTACGGAATATTTCTTGTTAGCGAAAAAAAGAAAAGACCAGAGAGACTGGTCTTCTGCGTCTTTTACGACTGTTTATACCTCGTATAGTCGGCGAGTCGATAGGAGGTTGGCTGACTGAAGTAACCCTCCATACACTTCATGCTCCGTATACGAGTAAAGGCATTAAACTGCAGTTAGGTTAGCTAAAGATTTTTTTGAAAAAAAAAAAAAATAAAATAACCTCAAAAAAAAAGTTATCTATATTGATTTATGAATGCAAAAGATTAACTGTTCGCTGCATTGTTCTTACGTTCCTTTCCCATCTACTCGATGAAATTATACGGCGCTCGACTCGAACCACGTCGAGATAATTCCGCACTGGTTCGCGAACCAGGTTGATATGTAACGTCGTCGGGCTGATAACTTAGGTGCAGTATCGATCGATCGGCGCACGTTTATCCCACAAGGCGTAAACTGTCTGCGAATAATGAGGCTGAAAAGTATACTTGAGCGCGTGGCAAAAGATATATACGTATATAATGTAATACATGACCGGGACGACTCGAGGTATGCTGAGACGCGAGCAGTTGGTACCTGGGTCAGGATTACCCTGGAACAGTGATCCTCTGGGATCGCTAGGGAACAGAAACTGGGTGTCTTACAGAGCGAGTGAGTGATCGGTCGTATCACGTGGTGTAGAGGAAGACGAGTAGAAGGTTAGACAGGTTGAGCAAGGCTGTACGAGAGCCTGGGGGGGGTGAAGTGGGGTGGGTACGCAACGAGAGCGAATGTGCGTGAAGAAATGATGAAGGGGGGTCAGGGGTGGGAAAGGAGGAGCTGATGGAGGCGATAGGCTGATAGTCAGTGTCTGGTGGTACCAGGCGTGCACCGTGTCTCCTCGTTCCTCCTGGCTCATCCGATCCGCTGCGTCACAGGAAGCCGAACGCCTGACTACTCTTGAGCGCCTGATGCTTCTAACCCATCGCACATTCAATCTGTTTTATCCTATTCATTTGCCGCGTTAGCCAATTGGCCGAGTTGAGGATCAGCGCTGATGCTCCGTTTGGAGGATTCGAGAGACCGAAGCTCTCCCGACTGTCTTGCGTGGGTGGGTCCCTTCAAGTGGACTAGGTCCAGGGACTTTGGGCCTCCTTGACCTTGGACCCGACGGACGCAGTGAAAACTTGAATTCACTGCTTTTCCACGAGTTCAAGTATCGTTCACGTGCGTTTCAGGGATTGAACTTGCAGGTAAAATTGTAGCAGGCTCGTAGGGCGCTTGGGCACGTTGTATTTGATGCACGCGTGAAAGTAGCGGACACGTGTGGATGGACGTAGGTTGAACAGAGCTAGTAAAGAGGTATGTTTACGCCCAGGCGGAAGTGCAGGAATTCGCAAACGGTGACTAGAGCGTCTATTACGTCATTTCCTGGTAGGTCGTAGTTCTGGAATTTTTCTCCGGAGAGAAAAGACGGGATCGGTGGCTGAGGGGTAGGGAAACGGAAGAGGAGGAAGCAGGGACGTCTGATAGGTCGAGTAGGTCGAGAGAGAGAAGCGTGAATGAGGATAGAGAGAAAGAGATGGTTGTTCTTTTTATTTTATTTCTCTTTTTTTTTCTTTTTCTTTTTTTTTTCCCTTTCTTTTTCATTCTTCGACGCAATTTCGCGCTCCCGCGGAACAGAAATTGGAACTTCCGGCGGGCAGATTGCCGGCGGGGCCGGAGTCCCGGCTACGGAGTAGCAGCTGACGCGGTGACGTCACGGATTTGCGGGGGTCGGCGTCCCGACGCCGGACGTCGGTCGATACTACTCCACTCGCCCGGGCGACGCTCCTCTCGCCGCGTGACGTCACCGGCTACGCCCGCTATACCGGAACTCACCCCGGGAACACGGAAACCGGATGACCCCCTTCTCGCATTCATCCGAGTGCATCCATCTACCCGGAGCGAAGCCTTCCCTTACGTCTCACCCACCCTAGACCTCCTTCTCTCGGTCGTCTCATCCATCCACGTGTCACGAATAACCCACGAGGTATCCAGAGCATCCGGCTGACGGATCGAACGCCCCGAACCCTTTGAACGCTTTCCGGGGGACTTTGATAGGATTTTTTAATTCACTTCGATCAATTAAGAAAATGTCCCGATTATCAAATTGAATTCTCCTCTCTTTTTTGTTTCAGGTAACGGAACTTCCATTTGTGCACGTCCGTCCCATCTGTTCTTTGACATCACAGAGGTAGTATATAGTATCGCGGGTCAAAGGTCAAAAGTAATATTCATCCACGTGCTAGTTTGATCGATGACTTTTTACTTGTGATCGTCTCTCTGATAAGGGTGCATACGTAAAAACCACAAGATATATATATATATATATGCTTAGAATTCTCAACCCGCAGCGTTATTATTCAAGGAAATTCAATTTCTGCCGCACGTAAGGGAAACAAGCAGCATTGTACGTACAGTGTCAGAGAAAGCAGAGGAGAAAGAGAGAGAAAAGAGAAAGTGAGCAGGCTCCCTGTTCAATAAATAGAAAGAGCAGACTTGCCTCTCGGAAGAAAGCTCTCCGAGAGAAGTCCGTCGCAAAGGTAGTAGCAGCGAGCTTGCGAACCTTCGGAATTAAAAGGCAGCAGACGCGGAAAGTTTGCCGAGTTTGCAATTGGGGGCGGGGGGGGGGCAGTAGCTACAGTTATAAAACGATGCCCGGTAGCAGCGCCGAGGCGTGGGATATCGGTTGTGTGAATATTGGAAAAGGGGGTAGTCACGAGCGCACCTTCATTAGGTGGGTGCAGGGAATGTATATATATAGGTAACCATGAACGAGGTCGGGCCGCTGAAGGAACTTCAGAGTGGAGGGGGGGAGGAGGGGTGGATCAGTCAAGACTATGGAACACATATACAGGATCTACGACAGCCTATGCAGTTATGTACGTGTAATATACATATATGGTTCAGGCACTCCTCGGATCAGACGTCGGCTTCCTTCGGTAAGCTTCGGCTTGACTCGGTTCATTTCAGTCAGCTGGCTGACAGGGCGTTGCCCCGCGGTGCACCATTCATTACGGAGTGCAGCCCGACTAGACCTAGCACGACCAGAGAGAGAGAGATAGAGAGAGAGAGAGAGAGAGAGCAAGCTAGGCTTGCTTTTGCTGCAACCGCAATATACCCACCCACTCACCCACCCAGTAGAAACTACCCTTCCGAACCAACCTAACCCGCCGACTGATCCTCGGCAACCCACCCCTACCCCCCACTCCCACACCCGTCACTGCCTATCTATACCTCCTCGCTTTCCCAACTACCCTCATTATCGACGAATCTTTCAGTGACACTGCCCGTTCTTCGTCTACTTTATTTTCTCTTCGTCCCTCTACCCTCTTCGTCATCCACTACTTTTTCTTTTCACTACCCCCCACGGGTCACGCTGTTCACTTCCCATTCTTCTTGCTGAGCTTGAATCTTCATTCTGGCAGCTCTGGGACTCCCGATTAATTACCGATATTTTCGTTCTACGTGTATATAGTATGCATCGTGTAGATTTATAACACGTCCCATAACCGTTTGTTACATCCCTCGGCAATGCTGTCCAGCCGGGCGATCTAAATAGGTTAATATTCAATCGCGAGGCAATCTTCTTTAAACGACCGCGAGGACGAGGGCGAAGCTAATGGCGATATAGAGCAGCTGTCCTTGCGCGGTCCGCGCGCGCGCGCGCGCGCGATCGGTGCTTATCGGGATATCACTGTAATTACGAAAGATTGCGCGATCATCCGTGGTTCGATCTTGGCTGCCTTTCCTTTCATCTCCTTCCTGCCAAACCCCTTTCTTTCTTCCTTTTCGTCTCTCGGCCTTTTTCAGCCTGTCTTTTCTACTCCGATACTATTTCATCTCCGCATGATCCTCCTGCACTTCTTATCCGCATCGTTCATGTTAATCTTCGCGAAATAACCCGCCGAGCCTGATGAGTTTTCTTGTCGCAAATTCATCCTCCGATCTTCTGCCGCCAATCCGTCCGAAGGAATGCAGCCCGATACGCTCCAATAAATGCACTTTTTTGTATTCCTCAACGAAGGGGAAAAACAAACTTACCGTACCCAGGCTTATGGGCCACACCGCGTGACCTCGCGATACGTCAACGTGTCCCCCGTCGTATAGGGCGAAGAAAATATTTTCCAAAAAATGTTTTCACGTTTCCCAGATAAATATCAGTATTGATCATTTCGTAATTGTCAGTGTACCCAAACGGTGGATCCTTAGGAATACAGTAACGTTTACTATCGTTTGTGCAATTTTTCAATGTAGAAATTGTGGGATTAAATTTTGCATTAAAAAAGAAAATCTATATTTTATCTTTTATGCAGCAAATTAGGCCTCTGTAGAGAGTTTACTGAATTTTTAGCACGGACAAGAACCACTGTGAAAATTCGTTGCAGAAAACTGTCTTGCCTACGTTATGCTGTCTGCGACGATAGGCCAACTCCATTATTCGCCAATGATAGTGCACAGAACGGTGTGCCGATTTCAATGGAGTTTAATGTTACTTTATTCCGTTCTATTATCCCATTAACAACGATTCGATTGTAGCTATTCAAGGTTTATTGTATGCACTCACCAATTTCACGCTTTCACTCAGTTCACTCGCGTTTCCATATCTGCCGCATCCTGATCGTGGCGCATTGCCATTTTAGTATCGTGAAAAATAACAAAGGACCAATTAATTATAATTCAGACAATAACAAGTCCTACGCAATTTTATCATCATATAATTATTCGCCAGATACGTTAACCAGGACACTCGTGATGCATTACCTGTATAAAATCTTTATAAGAATTAAATATTTTCTCTATCAGTCTTTCCACGCCAACCTGCCCCAAAAGTTCTACTACGAAATCGTAAAGCCGGTCGTACGCGTGCCCGACGTATTTTTATCTTACGGTACCTACGTGCCTAGGAACACGGCTTAGAGTAAAGTGAATGCGTGACTCAGCGCCCTGACACGCAGCCAATGTTATTCGAACGTAAAACCATAAGCTTGTCTTGCAGTTGAAAGAATCAACAAATCCACTGATGAGTCGTTTTGCATCACGGTCATTCCTCGTAATACATCCAGATTGGATAATAACGAATATCTAGCCCGGTGTAAAAATCATAATAACGTAAACCAACAACGAGCAGACCATATATAGGAGCGATACCCGCGAAACGAGACACCGAAATAAAAACTGAAAATTTCTCGAGATGAAACTGCGCTAGGTGTCCATGTAAGACATGTAGATCTGCGGTGTACCGCAGCCCGCTTGTCGTAGCCGAAGACTACGCCGAAGAAGTTGGCGAGGTCAGTTGGAGCTTGTCCGCTCGAGGGGATCCGCCTGCGTGTTCTTGATTTTCCTAAATGAAAAAAAATATTAAAGTCGTAAGATCTTCCCTTTGTAAAAAAATTAATTAAAGCATCTCGTGATAAACTCACTTCGCATTATCGTCAGTGCGACGGATAAAGTAGCTGGTACCCATTTCTGGCTCGCGATTACCTACTCGACATTTTACGTCCAACCTAACCTAACATTATTACCAGCAACGATAAACCACCCGCTCGTACTACTACTACTACTATTACTTTCTAGTATTACTACTACTACTTTGTTACTGTTACTGGTATTACTACGAATTTCTACCCCCACTCTGCTCCTTCGCCATCGACTGCTGCTACCACGGTCGTTGCGAGTACTACGCTTATAACTGCTATATATAGCTACGTGCTCTACTACTGTATGTACACATTGATATTACTTCTGGTGGCAGTGCCACCACCACTGCCAGCTACTCTTCAACCTTCGGTATTCTCTGTCTGTCTGTCTGTCTGTCTTTACCACTTGGGCCGATACTTCGTGCAGCAAACACAAACGACCGTTACGAGCGTCCCATTCGAGTACGTCTCTCTTTATACACCCACTGGCTTCCACTACGCTGCGTCTCTTTTCCACAGCGCTGCAATGTCGGCGGGACTCGGCGTGATTCGACTGCACCCTGTCGGCTCCGAACTGCAGCTATCAGTACGCTCAGGCGCAAACAATACCCGTATACCTACTAGAGTGCATATACTGTAGGTTTGAATGCAGTTTTATATATATATTCGTATGAATGCATACTCACACAATCGTTATATATGCGTGATGTGTATATCCGTACAGTTCCTTCACCCTCTGCGAGGTAGGCAGCTCCGTCCGTAGTAGCGTGGCGCGACGGGCGCTACTCGAGTTGTAGAAAATAGTACCGACGGCCGCCGACAGAGGGCGACACTCGGTCGGTACTTTTTATTCAAAACTTGCCTGAAACGAACTGGGTGTTTCGTGCTCGAAGCTTTAAGGTCTTTTAAGATCGCGACTGACGGTCCCGTATCTATGCGGCTCTCGGAAATTTTCAGTTACCAAAGAGACGTAGCCGGTATTTCGGAATCGGCAAAGCCCTCTACAGTTATAGTCTCTCGCGGTTGGTTGCCCTTTGGACGTTTCTCGCCGATTTTGACAAGGGTAGAAGCTTTTAAGCTTGACTTTGCTTAAAATCCTCTGAGGTTCGAGGAGGGGGCTGGTACGTAGGAGAATGGGCGATGGACTTGGCGAGAGACGGGAGGAAGAGTGCTGGCTCCGAAGTGCGGCGACGGAATGACAAATAGTGGTTGAATCTTTAATCTTTCCCCGTCGCGGGATATTAAAGTTCTCAAGGGCTTTGCGACTACTTTGAACGCCAACGCGAAAGAGAGTTCAAGTTTCGACCTGCGGACGACGGACTGACAATATCGAGGATCGACTATTAATGCGTAAACAAAGGGGGGAAAAAAATAACAGAGCAGAGAGGTTGAGCGAAATAATTTCAAAGTTTTCCATTTCAACCACTAAACTATACCCGTTCTTCCGACGACTTTAATCGACCGCCTGACATTCCTTGGACTCGTAAATCTCGTATAAACTGCATCGCCGTTACTAGAACCGTACGTTTCCCAGCGTAGAACCCAACCCGGCGTATACTGTCCTGAAAACGAATAAGAGTTTCCAGATAGGTTTCTATATACCGTTTGTCGTCTGATTCCATTATTCGAGTGGACCAGTAAAGTCTAAGCATGTCGCGTCCCATGTACCTTCCAGATACATGGAATAATGCCCGCGTATATTCCAATTGTAAACGTATCTTCTCCCCAGCACTATACAAAACTATCGTAATACATTTACCCAATGTAATATCTGTCTACTGAAATACTGTCGTCGTAGAGACTATTAGAAAATTCATCATTACAACCACCTACCGGTATCCATTATCGTGGCTCCTGTGTTATGAAATCACTCGTAGAACCTTTATTCTCTATAATCGATTTAAAAACCAAGGAAGAACCTCCTGGTTCCATATTCCACCTACTCGAACGTTTTCTTTCCTCAATGATAATTTCCATGGAAGTCTGACGAGCGACAGTCGCTCCTGGAATGCAAACAAACCACGTCCACACTAAGCGCGTCTCCCTGGGTTCTCCTTCGCGCCACCTTTCGCTTTGTGCTGTCGTTTCGTGACGCGCGGCCCTTAGGCTCTCCTCACACCGAAGACGCAAGACCAGAAAAGGACGCAGAAGCTGCCTTTGAAGTTCTAGGAATTCATAGGGAATCGTACGAGGGTCGAAGGTATAAAGGTTTGTTCACACTGTTTATCCAAGAATTATGCCCGATACCGTACCTAACCTCCTTAACAAATATCCCGACGCGCCCCATGTGAACACAGCTTTAAATCCTACGGTCTCGCTGTTCTTGTCCCACAGTCAAGGTCAGGGTCGTCCACACGTTCGTACGCCATCCAGTGACTTGACTTCATCCAATGGGCATCCCGTTTCCCATAAACGGCCACGTGGTGGGCCCTATCTCGATTCACAATTGCATCGTGCTGATCCTCCAGGCCCCGTAACTAGTTACGCCGGTTCTAACCAGCTGCTCCTCGAGGAACACACGGCTTCCTGCGCCGGCGCGTTCTACCCTTTCAATTCGCGCGCCATTTTTAACCTCGATATATCTGCTCGTCCATTGTTCCATTTTTTAAAAATAATTTTTCTATTTCTCAAATT